CTGCAGTCGCCGTTTCTGCAACGAAGGTCAACAGTGTTGTGGCATCCCGCGAAGCAATTGCGCCATCTGCCTCTTGCCCCTCGTTATCTCAAAAACCAACGGCAGCCGCATGCTCAACGGCATTGCGTCCGGGGGTGGCTACTGAAGTCTCACCATCGACGACTGTTCAGCAACCTTTACAAGATTCGACACAAAACCCAAACAATGTAGATGCCACGAAAACAAATCAGCAGGGCAACGTTTCGCTGTAAAATAAATTGACAGCAAATCCATATGAAAATTCAGTTCGTCTTAAGGTTGTCCGCGCTATTGTTGTACTTATGCTTGTTGGTCCCAAGTCATGCGAACAGGATGAAATGAGATATGGCAGCTAGCGTGAATACTTTACTGAACTGAACACCCCACTTCTCCAGTTTCTGCCAGCAATCCATCATCTTTTTCAATTTCCTTCAGTAATGTATGAAAGGTCTCTGCCACGCTCTCTCCCGTTTTATTGGAGCATTCTATGTAGGGGACTTTCCACAAGTCGGCCAACTTCTGAGCATCGGCCAAACTAACTTGACGACTTTCTTGCCTGTCTTTCATGGTTCCCACCAATACTCGTGGTACGTCCGGCAAATCACCCAGCGAATTAAGCAACACATCATTAACTTGTTGTATCATTTCAAAGGATTGTCGATTGGAAATTGAAAAGACCAATAGGTAGCCATGGACTCCCAGGGAAGCGTTCCTGGAGAGTCTTGAGAATTCATCCATTCCGGCCGTATCTACGATATCCGTCGCAAAATGCACCTACACATCGAAAGATGAATAGTGTGTTGGGAACCTGGCACGCATCAGCAATAACATGAATAATTCACATGTCAAGTTCACCTGTATATTTAATATTTACCTTTCGGAACCGAATGGTTTTGGTCCATGACGATTCAATGGTGGGTTCGTATTGTTCGGAAAAGGATCCAGTTACAAAAATGTTCACCAGAGACGTCTTTCCCACGGCTCGGTACCCAAGCACGGCCACCTTGCGATGTACAACCGTCGGTTGGTTGTTGCTGTTGTGGTGATGGAGATTAATGGTGTTATTGTTAGCAGGGATACTGCTGCTTCCGCTGCTGTTGCCGCCGCCGCTCATGATGCGTTCGTGATTGGGATTTTCCCTACTACCGTAGTTGAATTTGTATTTATGGCACGATGTTGGAATATCACTATTTATCGAGCAAAGTAGGATCATTCAATAGTTGATTGTGTAAACAAAGGTAAGAAAAAATTTCATTCTTTTGTCATCATGGAAGGAGAAACACTTGATGATGTTGTGTGTGAGCGAAAACGAGTCTCTAGTCGCAGGATTCTACTACGGTAGGTAGTAGTTTCAAGGGAGGGAGATGTTGTTTGTTATCAGTAACCCAAGGCACCGGAATATTTACAGTCGCTCCTTGATCAGTACTTCAAACTTTTCCTCCATTGAATGAGGAGAGTGGAACTACTGGGTAGCTACTCTCTCTTTAGGTAGTAGTAGGTCGTGGCCCGCGGATATCTAATAAAACTTTTTACTGTTACTCTCGTATTGACTGTGAATTACGTAGTAGTAATTACTGTTAGTTTGTGTTGATGGCGCATACCGGCGGTATCACAATACGTCGTAATTCACTCACAGTCAGTCAATCTCAGTCAAAATAGTAGACTACTTAGAAGTAGTAAAATAATAACAATCTCTTCAAAGACTACTTTAGATTCTTTTCTAACGGTCCTCCAAAAAATAACAAAGAATGATCAGCCAGCCAGCCCGCCGGCTCTCTACCAACAAATGCGCATATATATCCCGTAGAAGTCGTCATCGTCGCCAAAAACGAAAAGCGTGATTTGAAAGGTACGAGGACACAACAACAACATTGATGTGAGAAGATTGCCAAGCACGAGTGGGCGATTTCAACACTTGCTGCCTCTGCCGTAACTATCGTACTTGCCGTGTGCCTTCAGTAGATTCCGCAAGAAACTAAAAGAGGCCGACTAATTTAAACGGCGAAATCGTCTTCTACCTCCTTTCATTGACAGTGTTTGTGACCTTCGAACTCGCTCGTCCATTGCATTAAGAGTAAAAATGGATCGACAATTGTTGGCTCGGGCCACGGAAAATTCGGATGCTCCCACTCCAGGATACATGTATTTGGACATTGCCAAAAATGCTGCCAGTAACCCACAAACATGTTCTGAGATTGCCAAATACTTGACGGGACGATTGGCCTCCAAAAACAACTCCAATATCAAATACAAATGCCTCAAGGTCATTGCCAAGACGGCTGTCTCTCCCTATTTACGTGGACAGTTCAAGCGTTGTTTGGCGCAAGATCCGCAATCCATGGCAGCAATCAAAGATGCCACTCAATTTCGGGGACCACCCGACCCAGTTCGTGGCGATGAGCCATACGAGAAAGTACGCAATGCCGCAAAAGAGGCTTTGGATGCGGTTTATTCCGACACACCCGCGGGGGATCCATCTGGTGGAGGAACCTCCTTTGCCACATCCGTGTCGAGTGGTTATGGACCCTCTGCAGGGAGTTCCTATGGCGGAGGACCACCGCCAGGCGGCCGACGAATGGAAGGTATCGGAAACCCTATGTTCAAGGATCCTCGGTTGGAACCGCAACCACAGGGCATTGGCAATATGACTGTCAACGACCTCGTTAATGAAGCCAAGTCGACGGTTATTGGTATCATCAAGGATCCATTGGCTAGAAATGTGGATATCAGTTTGAGCAATCGACAGGGATCCATGCCTCGTCCAGGAGGATCGTACTCGGGTCCAACTGCTGGGGCGGTGAGTTTTTGAATGATCGAAAGTGTCATTCATGATATTGCTCTTTTGTTTGGTTTCTAACGTGTTATGCCCCTACTTAATTTTTCTCACTGCAGTACAATCGGCCACCGCCAGGACGATCGGAAATAATGCATCAAACCAATGGAGAGTGGACAATGGCTTCCAATCGAGGCCCTGGAGCGGTCGCTCCACCACCCAACTACGCCAACGACTCTGCCTACTACAAGTCTAGAGATGCCGGAAACTCGTACTCTTGGGCACAAAGTAAGGGAGGCGCTGCGCCTAGTGGTGTTGGTGGGGTATGGGCGACCGCTCCAGCGGCTGCACCAAATAGTACCTATGGGCATCAAGCGACTCCGTCCATCACGGTAAACAACGCCATTGGTGGGGTGGTTCATGCAAGTGGTGGAGGCGGTACTGCTGTGTCAGATGGATCGTATGAAAAACAGCTAATAATGGAGTTGTGTCCTCCAGGTGGAATGAAGCCAGAGCCGCCACCCGACAAGCTCGCACAGTTTGCTCGGTTGGTATCGGGACTTAATGCCGATCTCGTTTGTCCCGTTTTGTTGGATTGTTTGGAGGAAGGACAACCGTGGATTATTCGTGCAAAGGCACTCTGGGTGATGCTAAGTTGTATTCAAAATGGCCAGAAACCCGGTGCTACCAACAATCCATATGCGGATTTCTTCCATGCTTGTAGTGGAGAAATTGCGCCGTTGGCCAACCATACCCGTGCTGCCATTCGAGAACCAGCCAAACGAGTGTTGAATTCTCTTGGAGTTGCAACTCCAGTCGAAGGAGCACCACCAATTAGATCTACCATGGCTCCTACTGCGCCACCGCCAGCACCCGTTGCAAATTTGTTGGATTTCGATGAGGGTGACGCTCCAGAACCTGCCGTGACAACACCTACAACGGCGCCACCTCATCAACCTCCTCCGGTACCCCCACCAACAGCACCTGCAAGCAATGGTTCCTTGTTTGGAGGCTTGAACGTCGCTTCCGTCCCATCGACAGGTCCACCAACTGAGGCAGCCCCACTCACAGCCGCCGCCCCGACTGCTCCCACTGGTGAGAGCCTACTTGACTTCATGACAGCCGAAACCCCCGCACCAGCAGCAGCTCCTGCTGCATCGTCATTTGGATTCTTGAATGGTGGCGATTCGGCTCCTCAAGCAGCAGCTTCTGTGACATCTGAAGTGAAGCAAGCCTCATCCATGTTTGATAGTTTATCATTGAAGGGCAACCAACCGTCGGAAGGTGAGAAAAAAGCAGCCGAGGCCTCTCTTGCTAGTGCGTCGCCTGTTGGATCAGCTTTCGGGTTTATCAACAGCGTTGGATCATCAGATGCATCAGACAAAAAGGCAGATGCCCCAGCTGCCGTCGCCGACGCTGTCTCTAGGGACTCATTTGACCCCTTGAAGAATGCAACGCCTATTTCTCAAAAAAAAATGATGCAATTGTCACAAGAGCAAGTGCAAGCAATGTATTACCAGCAGATGATGATGCAGCAGCAGATGCAAATGGCGCAAATGCAAATGGCACTTCAACAACAGGCCAAGCGAGGATCTGCTGGGAATCAACAGATGTTCATGAACATGCCTGGTCGAGTCATGCAAAATCCTGCAGCCTCCAAGTCCACCTTTGCGTTTATGGACAAGCCACAGAAACCAGAGAACCACTCCTTTGATTTTGTAAAGGATGCCATGACCAACGAAAAGAAGAAATAATAAAAAGTAATGAAGCCTGCAGTGAAATAGTGATGAAAAGTTAAGTCGTGAAAGGTTCCAATGTTACTTACTGGTCGTTGTAGTTGTAGTGGAAGAGATTGTGGATCTGGTTTTTATAAGAAAGAAGAAGGCGTTGGTGTCCAGAGTTTGCAGGACATCTTCTTCTACTTCTACTTCTTTTTCATTGCGTAACTTTTTCCGCGTTGGGTCGAGGAAGGAAGAAATGATGACACAAGTGAAGCAAAGTTGGTAATCAAGGCCTAAAGAAGGAATTTGAGAATCCCCGAATAGCTTCTTCTTCTTCCACTACCTACTCTAGTCCTTGTGGTCCCTCTACTTCTGCTCCTTCCTCTTGCATGGCATGTACCACTACCTAAAATAATACACAGAATACAGGAGTCAATTGAGGCCAGAGAAACAAAAAATATTCATCTTTACCCCAAACCATAAAAAAGTGCCTCCAAGCAGGATCGAACTGCTGACCTTTCGCTGACTCCGTGGAGTTACGCGGTAGTAATCATGATTATGAGACGAACGCTCTTCCTACTGAGCTATAGAGGCTTGTTTCTGTAACGCAAAAAATTATTGTTCCTATATTGTAGTCTTAAAGATAAAAGGATTCACAATCACCGCCCTTTATTGTCATAGCGGCAGTAGTACTACGTAGTTCTTCTACATAGGTAGGTAGTACCGGTATGATACATGGTTGTAACACTAAACTGTAAAAAGCATCATCATTAACTTCTCGGAGTACCTACGTATACTCCGGTAGTCGGCGGATATTTTATTACTGTTACTAGTCATAATAGTACCGTAGGTCTTACGAGTACATGATACCGTACACGCTCTGTACGATAGTACAACTACCGGTTTACCAAAGTCACATTACTCACCGTATGACCCCACCATCACTGGATAATTCCCACGTAAAATGAGTCCACAGTTATACTGTCTGCAAGACTCGGGTATGAGTACGAGAATTCCACTTACAGGGAAACCGCACAATCGAAAACTGGTAACCTTTTGAGTATGCCTTTTTTGTAAAGATGTTAACTTTGTTCCCCCTATTAAATTAGGAAAAAACTCAAACAATCATCTCGTTTGTCTTGTTGATGATTGCATCCACGGCAAAAAAGATGTCTCGACGGAAGACACACAAGCAACAATCTATGACGAACGAAACACAAGCTACAAGCTGTCGATATCGACAATGGCCGACGATGAAGAGCCGACGATGATGGTGGAGGATGAAGGGGGGGGAGACATGTGGGATATGCCCATGAAGGAGGAGTACCATGCACACATACGAGGGCTGATGGGCCTTGCCCATGGCTGTATTTATCGGGGCAAAGACATGAAATTTACCAAAGCGCAATTGCTGCAGCTCAAACCCAAACATATCTAGACAGCATCCCCAAGCCCAACAAGAACGACTGGCTGCAGAGGAAGAAGCTCCGGAGGCTGGAGAACAAGTCTACATGCCTACATTGGCTCCTAATCTAAGGACGCTTCAAGAGATGTGGAGAGAGTGGCAGTTTGGTATTGGAGGAAGAAAAGCTGCAAAGGACTGGACACCACGAGAGAGAGGCAATCCAACAGGGCGCATTAAGCAGACATACTACAGCGGAAGTGTGTTTGGTTGATTCTACAGCGCCTAATCAACAAAGGCCACAACATCTCTGGGGCTATTAGTATGATGAAAGACACCTATGGCCAAAGCACAAGTGTTACGGATATGCAGAAGGCTATTGTTAGAGATAGGAGAGTATATCAAGACAATGGAGGATTGCATCCGAATTTTAGATGAGCGTTCCAAGTTCCAACCAGTCTGCTGCCGGCTATGGCCGAATCATACGGAGTAGATAGACAATGGAGAATTATGCAGTTGACTTTAGATAAGAAAAGTGTTGACAATGGCCATTGCCGATATTGTCTTACAGTATTTTTGTTGACTTTCCGACGATATCATATAGGGGAAATTGCTATGTCGACACCGAAGCCTTATCTCGACACGGGCATTACTATCTCGACACGGGCATTATTATCTCGACACCGTGCCACTATTATCTCGACACGGGCATCATTAGCTCGACACCGTGACACTATTATCTCGACACCATAAATTCCCCTTTGTTATTTCGACACCGTGTACGTCATTATTTCGACACCGAAAAAACCCCTCTTGTTATTTCGACACCGAAAAAACCCTCTCTTGTTATTTCGACACCGTAAAAACCCCACTTTTTTATTTCGACACCGTGGCCACTGTTATCTCGACACCATCCTTTTTACCTTTTTACTATATCGACACCGTAGCACTACTACTGTTTCTACGTTTCTACCACAGAGTAGTTACCGAAACTGTTACTGCCACTACAACTGTTACTGCTACTACCACCAATCCATAGGTAATACTGAAATCTTATTATAGTAATGACAGTTATATATTGTTCAAGAAACGTCAAGCTCAGCTGGTTGTTGTTTCTCAAGTTGCTCTCTTGCAACACATGTTTTAACGTTGTGTCCTCTCTTCTTGCATCTGCTACAAACAATGGGTGATTTGTCTGGATCATGGGCGAAACGAGATCGTTTCCTGATCCTTTTTTCCTTGGTCGTCCACTTGACCTTTTTGTGCGATTTGGTGGCAATGTAACTCCATCCTGGTCCAATATATCCAAAGAAACAGGAACAATGTTTTCCTTCAAAAGTTCGTTAACTGTTTCGTATTTGTAGTGTTCACTGACATGATTGTCCATTATGTATTGTAGTGTTTGCGTCTCAAACAACCTGTAGTAGGCAACTGCATCAATGCAGGGAACTCCATGCTCCTGCCACTTTCCACACTCACATGTCTGCTCCCTCACATCCAACAATCGATTTGTCTCGGGCTGAGACGCTCCCCTCGATGGACGGAAAACATCGAACTGGCTACCACCCTTCACAACCTCCCTCACTTGGAAGTTAGAACAATTTTTCCATCTACTTTCAAGGATTTCTGCAACCTTGTCCACAACACCCTCCCTTCCGTAGTTCTCCTCACGAAGGCTGCAGATCCTGTTCATCATTTTTCTGACAATGTCGTTGGTACATTCTAGCCAGCTTCCATCTCTTGCATCTCCAACCATTGAGTTTACAGACTCTGACATGTTTGTTGTCACAATGCCGAACCTGGGTGGAAGGGTTGGGTCGTCCACCCAAGCGGTGCTCCTCCACTGATTGGCGCTAATGCCCTCCAAATACTTCTTTCCGCGGGCGGAAATTGCATTAATTTTCGCCATCAATTCGTCCGATTCACGTTTGGAGAATGTGGCAGACAGAGCATGGACAAGCTTTGCTACCTTTTTTCCAACCTCCTTTTCAACATTCCTTGCTATGTGGACAGAGCAAAAACAATGATGATTGTCTGGAAACACCTGCTGCAATGCCTGGATGAGTCCCTTTTGCCTGTCAGAAATGACAGTGAAGTAGCAGAACCTGCAACGATTATATGGGTGCTGCATTTTCAGCAAAGGGATGGCCTCAACCAGCAGCTCCAGGAACCACTTCCATCCCTCCGCATCCTCGCCGTCCTTCATAATGGCAAAGGAAACAGGATAGATGTTACTGCACGCGGTCTGCACCGAAGCAATGTACAGGGTTCCCTTCCATTTTGACAAGAGGTACGCCCCATCGAGAGACAGGACAGGCCTCACATGCTGCAAAGAGCGCCGCATGATCCCAGGACAGATGCCTAGGCGCCGCAATGAATTGGGTTGTGAAATAGTTGTCCCTGTGTCTTGTTGGTTCGGGTTGTGGATCAGCCCCTAGTCGTGGATGGAGGGGCACAACCTCTAGTTCGATGGGGGGGCCCTTGTCAGGAACATCTGGTGCAGCATCAATGTCATTATCATTAGTTGGAAGGTCTTGAAGCAGCCGAAGGAAAACATCGTCATGACAGTCGTTTTCAGACTGGAGGGGAAAAAAGGAAGACAGGAACGAAGAGGAAAGAAGTTCCCGTGGATTGGGAACATCTGATCCAATGTCAGTGACGGTAAACACTGCATGGAGAGACTCCCTGAGCTTGGAAATGTGCTGCTGGATGAAAATGTCAGCTGACACATCCAACCCCTTGAGCAGGTGGAGGACACATCCAAATGCAAACAAATCACAGTCAAATCCGTTCTGTTGCATGGGACACGATCTGTAGACAGCCTTCTCCACAATGTGGTCAGGGTTGGCAAGCAGCACTTCACACTTGGGGTTGCCAAACAAACAAAAGTTCGCAATGAATTGCTGAAATGGTCGGAGGTACTTGGCAGGAGGAGAATTACGGTGTACCGAATTGTTGCGGCGGCCACCTTTGATCAAGGAGTCGTATACAGAAACCTCGTGAAAGATGTCGGGTGATCGAAGATCGAAGACAATCTTCACGGCAACAAAATGGTGGTAAATGCAGAAGGGAGAGAGGAACTCAAATTTGTTGTCCTTGTAATGGGAACACCTCTGCCGAATATTCTCTACACTCTTTGCGACGTTGGGATCAGAAGGAGCAGTAGCTATCTTCGCGTTGACTTGATGAAAGAAATGTAGGGAGTTGGCAGAACCTACGAGTGTGGTGTCTTGCAAGTCAGTTGGCTGGCGATGGAGTGTTACAGTGCCTGTAGTCGGTAGCAGTGGCTGAAATTCTCCTGTAAACACCGGCGGTAACTCCAACACGACGGGAGAGTAGTTGCAACACGATAGAAGCGGTGTTTTGGTGTCGAAATAGTTAAGAGGTAAGAGGTTTTTACGGTGTCGAAACAAAAAATAGGTTTTTTTACGGTGTCGAAGTAACAAGCGACGGTGTCGAAGTAACATGAGAGGGGTTTTTTCGGTGTCGAGATAACAAGAGGGGTTTTTTCGGTGTCGAGGAGTTTTTTCGGTGTCGAGATAATAGTGGCTCGGTGTCGAGACAAGATTTGGCACCGTTATGTGGAGAAACCCACATATAAGGAGAAGTGCCCATGTCGAGATAAGGCTTCGGTGTCGACATAGCAATTTCCCCTATTATATATTATTATCGTCTTGGCGTTTTTTTTTGACTTCGAGGATTTTTGATGGCGTCCGAGTGTCAGTTGCTACAGCTACCGTAGTAGATAAGTCTACGTGTGTGCATGCATGTAGGGTATGTACTATGTCCTACATGGTAACATTCACAGTCAGTGTTACCATTATTCTACCATTTTCTCGCAGTAGAAGCAGTAGTAGCACGCCAACTGAAGCAGCAGCTCTCTCTCTAGCTAGTAGAACAAAACTACGGTACCGTAATACCGGTACTAGCTACCTAGTCGTACTATGTACGTCGTAATGTCCTCCGTACGTCGATTTATTCGTGACTCAGTTTTCATGGGACTTTGATAAACCACGTACGGTACTACGACTACCGTAGTTACCGGTAGGTTTGAAGAAAGTACCGGTACTACCGGTACTCCGTACGTAGCATAGTACCACTTATGATTCGACTTCTTTATTAATTAACAGTAATTACCACCCTTCTTTTCGTACTCTCATCTCTCATCTCTCACATCATCATCCTTTGGCCA